AAAAAAAAAAAAAAATTATGAAGCATTTTATATAAAAATATACATTTCTCTGTGGCTTTTTCTTCATTGCACTTAGTCACTCCCTGACATTTTATCACATATTTATTATCTCTTACTCCCTCATGAGGTTAAGTTTCATGAGTGTAGGCAATTTGTCCATCTTGTTCATTGTTGTGCACATAACAGCACATTATAGACATTTATTAAATACATGATGAATGAATGACCCTAACAAAATACATGTCAGGAGTTAGTGGAGAGACCAAGAGACCTTGGGATGGTTGCAAGTTATCCAATGTAGTGGCAGGGGCTGGGATGAAAGAGCGAAGCCAAAGAACAGTTCCAGAAAATGGACATTAAGATTTTGAGGGCTATGGGCAAATGGATTCTTAGACAAGGGTGTTAATTTCATCAGGCTTGATGAACATTCTGGAAATGGAGGACCACCTCCCATCTGAGGTATCATGGGCTTTTTTCTGCATGTCAACAGTGCATTCTTCAACTCAAACTTGATTTACACCACATTTCAGCCTGCCTTTGACAAGCAGCACCCGCAATTTTCAAAATCCGAGCCCCTTTGCATGGGAGGTCCTTCAAGTGTCCTGTCAGCAGGGAGCTACAGGGAAGCATTTTGGTCTTTCCGATCCTCTGATATGTTTTGATTGTTTCTCAGCCAGATGGAATATTAATTAGGCTTCTTCTGTGTTTACAAAGCTTGGGCAGAATGCTGAGAAGCCAGATGATTTTAGTCATGAACTAACCTTAACACACTCTGGCTGGGGATGAGACTTGAGCTGGTGTCTCAGAGGTAAGATTTGGAAAGTCAATGTGACTTTGGGCAAGGACTCAAAGTGGCTCAAGGTAAGATTTGGAAAGTAAATGTGACTTTGGGCAAGGACTTATGGCACTCACCTCCCGGCCATAATTAATACTGTTATTCCAGGAGAGGAGTCAGGTTAAAGGTTAACTGGCCTGATGACATTGGGTTCTGTATAGGTAGAAATAGGGATTCTTGACTAGAAAAAAATTAAGATTAATTCAAGGTTGAAGGGAGACAATTTGGGGAGGTGATAGGTATAAAGAATTAGGAAAATGTCCAGTGAAAATGTAATATGAGGCACATATAAAATTATAAATTTTTTAGTGGCCATATTTTAAAAAGTAAAAAGAAACAGGTAGAATTGTTTCTAATAATATATTTTGTTTAACCTACTAAATCCAAAAATATTATTTCAACATGTAATCAATATAAAATTAGTGAGATTTACATTCGTTCATACTAAGTGTTTGGAACCCAGTGTGTGTTACACTTTCAGCACATCTCATTCTGGATGCTAATTTTTTGTTCGTTTGTTTTTATTTTTTTTCTGACCTACAAAGTCCTATGTAATAGATGCTAACTTAAGTAGAGTAAAATGTAGTCCTACCAAAACAATGAATTTGTGTTTCATATGAAATCATTTTATACTGTTTCAGTTTTTAAGTTTCAAATAAAATTAAAAATCAGTTCTGGGCTCGGTGCCTGTGGCTTAAGTGGCTAAGGCACCAGCCACATACACCTAAGGTGGTGGGTTCGAATCCAGTCCAGGCCCACCAAAACAATGACTGCTGCAACCAAAAAATAGCCGGGTGTTGTGGCAGGTGCCTGTGGGCCCAGCTACTTGGGAGGCTGAGGCAGGAGACTCACTTGAGCCCAGGTGTTAGAGGTTGCTGTGAGCTGTGATGCCACAGCACTCTACTCAGAGGGATAGCTTGAGGCTTTGTCTCAAAAAAAAAATCAGTTCTGGCCATGTGCAGTGGCTCAAGCCTATAATCCTAGTACTCTGGGTAGGACTACTTCAGATAGAAGGACTGCTTCAGCTCTGGAGTTTAAGACCACCCTGAGCAAGAGCAAGACCCCGTCTCTAGTAAATATAGAAAAGTTAGCTGGGTATCATGGCAGGTGCCTATAGTTCCAGCTGCTTAGGAGGCTGAGGCAGGATGGTTGAGACCAGGAATGTGAGGTTGCTGTGAGCTAGGCTGGCGCCTCTAGCTTGGGTGACAAAGCTAGACTCTTGTCTCAAAAAAAAAAAAAAATCAGTTCTTCATTTGCACTAGCCACATTTCAAGTACTTAATATCTCTAAGTCACTGTCTTCCAAAGGTGGAGCTCTGGGTTCAAACCTAGTTCAGATCCTACTAAAGGCTCAAATGGCCTAGCTCCAACTTGATCACCAGTTTCTTTGTAGGAAGCCTCCTATGCCTCATCTTTAAGTTGGGTTAATAATAGTATTTTGTAGCTAATATTTGTGAAGTATTCAGAGAAGTGTCTGGCATGCAATGAAACTGTTTATGGAAAAAAAGTTTCCTAAGAAGTTTCCTTACTTGTAGCATGAGGATGATCATTCTTAGTCCCCAGGATTCAACCAGAGCCATATAAACCCTAGTGGATGGCACCTAACAAATATTCCTCTTTTTTCTGCAGAAATACATTAACCTAATCAGTCATTTAAATACCATTTGAATAGTTATCGTTTCTGGACAACTAAGGGATAACCATCTGTCTTAGCTGGTGGGGCAACTAAGTCTAGAAGCACATTCCTGGATTTGATATCAGACTTGATCATGCCACAAAAGTAATGGCTCACAATTCATTCAAAGTGAGTATTTGCTTTAGAGTGAAGGCCAAGATGTAAATAATAATGGGAACTGACCCTAGTGCTCATTTACTATGTGCCCAGCACTGGACGTGTGGCTTTACACGTGCAATCTCCCTTGTTTCCCACAGCCTTCCTGTTAAGTAGGGACAACTAGAAGCCCCATTTTTCACATGAGG